AAAATTACTATTTTCTGAACGAGTTTGGTGTTTATCTTTTTTCATCCTAGATAACTAAATTCTTTAAATTCAACAAGACGTATGTTAAAAATAATGTCAGATTGAAAAAGAATTAAAAAAATATTATCCAGTTTTCAGCGATTTTTAAAAAAAGTCGAATTTACCCAAAACATTACATTTTTTCTGAATGGAATTGATGTTTATCTTTCTTGACCAGGTGCCGATTTGACTTTTTCTATTGGTGCCGAATTAACTAGGTGCCGATTTGACTTGTACCCCGTAAAAGAATCTTATCTGCAGAATATTCGAAACACGATTTCAAAATTAATCAAAATAATCAAATTTTTCGGTTTTCATCGATTTTTCAACAAAACCAAAAAAATTACTTTTAAAATTACAATTTTCGTAGGGTTGACACTTGACGATTTTAAAACCCAAAGATATAAACAAGTTTATGTTGAAATTGCTTTGATAGTTAAGTCAATTTTGAGCTGGAATGACTCTAATATTAGGTTGATTGGGGTAAATTAATGCTGTCCTTCATCAAAGTCGGGATTTTCTTAAACTGTGCATGGTATATAGATATGCAGCCAAGTCCGGTTGACACGAGGATGTTAAATCCGATACCTTGTGAAAAGTAGATGCAACACTAGTTACACGTTCAACATGTTCAATACGTTTTCCACAATTGTCCGAGGAGTCCGTAACTGAACTGTTGTTAAATGTATGCTCCTATCCATGAATTTTGTCATCATTTTCCTGTCTCAGACTAATTTGGTTGCCATTTTCCCGTTCGACATACCTTATGGAATATTCATATTGAATTTATTGTTTATTTGTTCTTGTTCTGGATAATGTTTGACCAAGCCTCTTCGTTATGAATCTACGTTAATACAAAATTAACTATTTTTTACAAATATACTTATAAATATTTTATATTAAGTAAATCCATCTCCTACTTTTCATCTAAATAAGAATAGATTCACATCATATTAAGGTGAAATATTGTTGTCTTCCTATATTTTCTTTAAAATATCTGTTTAAGTTGTAACATCGCATATTAACTGCTAAAATACACGACTATAACCATGAAAATGCGCCTCATAACTATTAAAATAAGTAGGGCTGCTGGGGTCAAATTCTATTCAAATGTCCTAAATACTAATATAACTAAAAAAATGGAAACCCGTGAAAATTTTTCAATTTATTCAGCAATGAAACAAAACCATTTTTAAGCGTTGATGGTCTGCCTATTTTAAAAACAATCTGGCATACTGCTTATTTCAACTAATTTCACAATTAGAAGTCATGAAACAAGTTTGAAGTCTTGGCTCCTCTTTTGCATAGATATATGTATGTAACCAGACGTTGTTGCTTGCTTTCTAAGGCGATGAACACACTTTGAACAAACTGTCTAAAGTACGTGTCCTCTTGTCTTTGATAACACTTACAAAAGTCTACCAAAAGTTTGCTAAATCTTAACATTAACTATCAATTCCTTATATTTGAACCAGCTTTGTTAGAAACCAGAATAACCATTTAAATTCTGGAACAATTGATCATATAAAAACAAGAAGAAGATATCGGATTTCGCTTAACGAGACAAAACAATGCCTTACTAATGGATCATAATCAAAGACATATAAAGGTCAACCGACGTTCTTTCACTTCGAATGTGTTTCTACACATAATACAGAGCCAAAAGCACTAGCTCTGTATTTTTTAAGGTTTGTTAAGTTGACATGAAATACTTTTTTTTATAAAATTACCATGAAAAAATTGAGAATTAATCTAAACTAGCAGGTTTTCTACCCTCAATAAAAAAAACAAAGGATATTGGGTATCCATCTATGACACAACATCAGTACATGCACAGCAAAACAAAAACAAAACACAAAAAGCAAAGAACAGCGCTTTTTTGTTGCTGTTCTTCATCTGAAAGTCACAGTTATGCCTTCAACACGAAGGAAAAAAAATTCTCACCTCACTACAATTAAAAGAAGGCCCCTATCCCCACAAGAATAGATTGCATACACATTACTTGCACAACTGTTTGACATTTTCTGTTTTTGATACTCATAAACCTTGTTCTTGATGTGGTTTTGCTTCGATTGCCAACGACGAGTCTACGTAGTCGAAACGCGATTCTGACGTACCGAATAATAACCCTGGTATATTAATTGAGTTTGTAATGTGGAGTGTATTCTCCTTTTACTTCTGGATCAGCTGAGATCGCCCCTCATTTTTGGTGCGGTTGGTGTTGCTCAGTTGTTAGTTTTTTATGTTGTGTTTTATATACTGTTATTAGTCTTTTATTCTTTTCCTTTTATTGCAATGGCGATGTCAGTTTAAATGTATGTTCTACGTATTTTTTCGAATGTCCCTATTGTATCTTTCTCTTCTACTTTAAAATATAGACGTGGACATTCTCACATATCATAGATCATCAATCAATATGGACACAAATTATGATAAGGTTTCAATAAAACCACTTATTTAGAAGAGGTTCCGAACGTATACGTGGGCATTTTTGATTTCGATTTACATATTCATTCATATTGCAATACATTAACCAATACACGCAATAGACTATTGCAGACACTTCATCGAGCTGATAACAGTGCCGCTGTTCAAATTGTATATATTAGGCAAATATTTGTAATAAGAATAATTGGTTTCTTCAAGAATTTTCGTATTGGTATAATAGTGTTACTTGGTTGTATTTAACATCTTTGTTTGATTAAACTCAATGTCTTTTGACAGATGTACTATCTTCATTCAACTTACTAACACATTCTGAAAGTTTGTGTTAAAAGGAAGAGAAACCCACCAAAAACAAGGGATGATCTCATGACTCCGAACGGGTAAGCAGATCCTGCTCTGCATGTGACATCCGTCGTGATACTTATAACAGATATGTTGAAAATCTGTAAGATTTGGGTGAGTACGTACATTTTGTTAAAAACTAATAAAGAATATAACATTTAGAATAAATTTACTTCATGTATCAGTTCAAGAGAAATATTTACATCAATAATATCCAATTTTATTGAGTATTTTCTTTTTCTTCTTTGTCTGCAATAAAAAGAATAAATATTATTATTTTCATAAAAGGATCTATGATAATGTGAAGGCTATCAATATATTTTGAACCCGTCATAAACATGACAATGGACTGCACTTAGATACTAAATATCAAGAAGAATAGTTATTGTTTTACTTAATTTTTAAAATATATTCAACGTTATCGAATTTTGAGTACTATCAATGCAGTTTCTTTTTTTTTGTCAATATTGAAATGATCAGAAGAAAACTTTTTCTTTGCATTGCAAACATAGTAAACTTAAAAGCTGTCAACGGTTTTCATTTTGCCATTTGTTAATTTTCGTTAGAGGTCTGTATTTTTGTTATTTCACTTACAATCGGAATTTTCATCATAGTGTTCATACTTTATTAATTTATAGACGAGACAATACATAAAACACATATTATCTCTCAATTTCGAAATAACGTTAGTACTTTTTTTTTAATTTTGTGTGCTAAAAAATACAACTGTAATTTTTTTCTGTGTTTGATTATTCAGTCGATGAAAGTTACCAATAGAAATCAATAAACATTGAATTGCAGAAATACAGACTTAACATTACAGTAAGTTAAATGCAAGTTGAATGTTTATTCAGCTCTTGATTGATCGCCAAAACAGTACCTGAAAATAACCATCATGATCTCGTAGATGGACTTATTATTTCTATGTTTAGATATGTTATATTTAAATGGTCGCTTCACACGAAATATGTACTTGCTATTGATTTTTCCAATAGTTAAGACTATTTACTTATATGTGTATACCTGTTTACAAATTTGAATGCTACATAATAAGTTGTTTTAAGTGTGACCGGTATTGGTTATTAAAGTCAAAATTATTTATGGTTAAAACATTTTTGTTTTTTAAGGATATTGGTCCTGCAGTTTCAAAATACTTAGCTTGTAAAAGATTGTTATCACCTGATATTATATATATTTATGCAATGAAAACTTTGGATAGAAAAGATTCTCTTCAGATTTGTCATTAATCTAATATTGACACCTCTTTTCTTTCAAAAATTATAAAAATATAACAAGGAAATTTCAAGATTTTCAAAAATGACTTTTTAATCTATATATAATAAACTATGTAAAGAAATGTAGGGGTTATTGGTCAAAATTTGTATTGACCCTATATGGGTAAAACTAGATGACTCTGAATACCTGACTTAAAAAGTAAAAAACAAAAGTAGCGAACATTTTAAATTTGATTAACAATGTAACAAATCTGAATACAAATGGAGAAGCGAACTAATAAATCCATTTTCAAATGATCCTTTAAAGCGATTTTTTTTCTATCCCCTGTTCCACCACATAAATGACATATTATAAGTCTATGTCACCATATTGGGTTTTATTCGATAAAAACGACAGTCTTTACACAATCATTATATTATATTGCTTGATATTCATAATAGAAGGACAGTTGATAAATGCATAACCATAGAGGAACTTTTTTTCATTAAACGGAGAATATGAAATAAAATACCACAATTTTATTAAGTTATCTATTTTCTATGTCTTTTGCAAGGATAAAAGTAAATAAATCTTAAGATCAAATTAAGAACATATTTATATTTTAAGATCAGTAGTTTCTAATAGCCCTATATTTTAAAACCAATATGGATCATATGACCCACTAATTTGGAGTACTTTGTCAATTTGCATGGCGACCATTTTGCATAACCATGACGACATCAATTTCAGATGCACGATTAAAATATTATATATCTAGTCGGACCTATAATAGCTGGCTATATTGTATTGGATTTGCTTATTGTTGAATGACGCATGGTGATATTAAATTGCTAACATCTACGTCATTTGGTCTCTGGTAGGTAGCTGTCTCATTTAAGAATCGTACCACATCTACTTATGTTATACTGTTTTCCGAGGAAATGTTACTTCAAACTTACTATGAAACTAATGCGGATGCGGATGGACTACGGAATGGGTGTGCGGAGCATGTGAAATTCCTACAAGACAAAATGAATAAATCAATTATATTCGCAACTCTTTGGTTAGATGTGTTATGAAAATTATCAGTATTACATATGGAGCAGAATCTGCTTATCCATTCAGAGCACATGAGATCACTCACAATTTTGGTGAGATCCGTGTCGCTTAGTCTTTAGTTTGCTACGTTGTGTCTTGTATACTGTGGTTTGTCTTTTGTCAGTATTTTTTTGCCATGACATTGTCAATTCGTTTTCGACTTATGAGTTTGGATATCCATTTGGTGTTGTTCTCCTCTCTTTAATCAGATATAACCTGAACTCGAATCATATCTCAATGAACAGTACATTTACAATGTCCAAACAGAACTTGAACTGTATGACCCATGATATAAGTGGAAATATACTTTAATTCAGTAACAAAATCAATCAGTTTGTAATATTAACAAGTGCATAGCTCTGATCAAAAATTTCAAATTTATGAATATCATACTTAACCTGTGATATATGGTTAAAGACTTTATGTGAAATAAGATTTTCCTTTTTTAAAAGTAGATTTTTAGTGGTGATCATCGGGAAACCAAATACACTATATCCCATAAAAGTTGAAATGAAAGCTTTGAAACATTAAATGACCATGATGACTAAACCGTCAAATCCAACTCGACCTATATAATTCTGGATCAGTGCATTCTGTGAAATTTCGACATATGTATCATCCAATAATCAAAAACATTGTAAACGTTAATAAGGATTAACTTGTGAACGGTATTGTAATCCAAAATGACAAAATCCACTTGACCAGTATTTTACGGTTGACGACAAAATGGTAAACTGTTGAAAGATTTATAAACCAGGACTTGAATCATCATGAACAAACAGAGTCCGAATTTGATGATATTTTAAAGGACAATCTTTGAACGGTCAAATCCAAAAATGTGTAAGTCGACCCGACTAGTAATTATTTTCGTCAATGACATCGTGTTCCAAATTTAAAAGATTTGGTCATACAGTAATTTATTTATCATCCAAAATCCAAAAGTGTAACGGTCAGAATCCAATAAAATTGAGAATTGAGTATGTCAAAGAGACAACTACCCGACCAGAGAGCAGATAACAAAGAAGGCCACCAATGGGTCTTCAATGCAGCGAGAGAATCCCGCACCCGGAGGTGGGCTTCAGCTGGTCCCTAAATAAAAATGTGTACTAGTTCAGTGAAAATGGACGTCATACTAGATTGGTGTTAAACGGACACGTGAAACACTGTGTAACCGATGGGGTGGACAAACAACGATAGCTGTATTCAAGTTCATACTTGTTACATTGAACATGTTGAATTTCATTCTGAATAACATATAATTATGATATATACCTCTACAAGTAATCTCTTGAAATTCTCCAATAATGTGTTCCAGCAAGTCCAATCTTTTTACTCTTAACGCATGGTCTTTTTCGATGGCGATGGTCTCCAATTCTTCCTGGTTAATAGATGAACCAATTCCGATCGCAAACATCATAACATCATCTTCTTTCATATGAACCATTTCTTCTTTTGTTTTCTTTGGATAATTTGACTTCCCATCTGTAATGACTATTCCAATATTTGGATAATTTGGAGGATCTCCATGAGCCTCCGCTAGGACCTTACTGTGCATATCATGCAATGCATAATCGGTTCGTGTTCCTCCACGCATTAGACGAATTTTGCTGAGAGCGGTAATTATTTCTTCTGGTTCCGTGTACCGATTGAGATAAAACTGTATTCTTGACCGGTGCGAAAACGTTATCACACTAATTCTGACTTTGTGATGTTCAGACATAGATCAACTAACCAGCTTTTTCACGAAGTTGATTATTTTTGCAAAATTATTTGACCTCATACTTGAGGAGGAATCGAGAACAAACATAATATCTGCTGCCTTTCCACATTCCAACTCTGAAAAAAAGTTAAAACAAAAATATCAATCTCCAAGGTTAATCAAAAAGGGGGAGTCGATGCAAACAGACAAAACCAAACGATCAACTATATGATGGACCAACGGAACCACTGACAAACAATTTTCATACTCCTAAGTTGGTATAAATATTCCAATAGAAATGGTGGTTAAAACATGGTCTTATAGTTAGATAAACACTCCAATTTGTATAAGTATAATACGTCTTCCATTTTTTTCATGTATATATATTTTTTTTACCGCTTCGTAAATGTTAACTTCTTTCTTAGTCCCTTTTTACCAATTTGCTATCGCAAATTTTCATCTTTTTTTTGTTAAAGAAAACTGTATTTTAGTTTAAACAAATATTGTCATACTAATTGGAGGTTTGCCTAGCTATAGCACAAGGTGTACAAAACAATATCTTCTGAAATTGCCTATACCAAGTCAGGAATTTGACAGTTGTTTTTCAACTGTTGATTGAAAATGTTAGATTTTGTCATTTGTTATGAACTTTTTGAATCAAATTTGAACACATTTAATATAAAACAACTTTAAAGCATAAAGGTATATCAGGGGTCATAAAAGAAATTAATTCATCAACAATACCAGACTTATAATTGGGTACATCAGACTCGCGTTTGATCCATAGGAATCATCATTGATGATAGTGGCACTCAATCCTTAACAGTTAGAAGGCCGAATAATTTTTTCCGAATGAATGTTTTAAATGTTTACAATAAAACCGGTAAGTACACAGCTGTTTATTACAAGCAATCTTAATGACATTTATCTGGATGGAATTGTATGCGACTGTCATACAAGTGAGAGGTTTAGCTAGCTATAGAACAAGATTTAATCCACCATTTTCTACATAAGAAAATACCTTATCAAGTCAGGATATGATAGTTGTTATCCAAACGTTTGATGTGTTTGAGTTTTTGATTTTGCCATTTGCTTAGGGTCTTTCCGTCTAGAAATTTCCTCAGAGTTCGGTATTTTTGTTATTTTACTTTTTAATAAGATGAAAATAAACTGTATACCGGTTGAGATGCATATAAATTGTTCATTTGTAAAACTGTATATGAAATGAACAGCCATTATACATTTGAGTTATGAATTTAAATAACACTTGGATCTTAAAATCTTTAAAAAAAACATCTGGCATAATAAGATGAGACAATTTTAGCAATCATTTGTAATAGGGAAATGGTTGTATATTGGACTACGATTAGTGATATATTAATAAAAAAAAAACGTTATTTAGTATCATATCGATCTTTTGTTAAATATGCAAACTAAATGTAATAAATTCTAAATTAAAAGAGAAACGCAGTTCGAATTAGGTGGGTCATCCTCGACCTTCGGTTTCATGAGGATATTTGTCTTATTGGAAATCATACCGTATTTCTCTATGTTTCTCATTCTAGGAAAAAATTAAACCAACTTACTGACTTCTGTGCATTCTGCGAAAGGATCACCTTGAAAACCAGGTTTACATGCACATTTGTAGTGACCATCATCAGGTTTGCATTGACCATTTGTAGCGCAAGGCGTCAACTTCTTTGCAACTAGTTTTGCTTTACCGTCTATCAACTGACACGTCCTGGCAATAGTGCAATCTGGGTTTTCAACAGTTGCTCCAACCTTTACAATGAAACAAAATCGCAGATTTTGATGGTTTTGAATACATGTCTGATTGTTTTTGTCACACATTGTTATCAATATGATTGTTCTTTATGCTACTGTCATACAAGTGAGACGTTTAGCCAACTATAACACCAGGTTTAATCTTCCATTGTCTACATAAGGAAATGCCTTTACCAAGTCAGGAATATGACAGTTGTTTTACATTCGTTTGATGTGTTTAAGCTTTTGATTTTGCCATTTGATAAGGGACTTTTCGTTTGGATTTTGGTATTTTTGTTATTGTACTTTTCATACATAACGAGCTTAATTTTCAATATTATACAATTTTATCATAAAATATATTTTTTAAAGCTTACTTTGCCTCCTATAGAAGCAGGGCATATTTTTAGTTAATGTTACATTCTTCATGCAACAACGCTCTCTTGTTTGTTTCTAGTGATTTTATAAGAATGGTCAAGAAAATGTTCTTATGGATAATACATATTACTATTCTTTTTCTGTTATATAAATAAATAAACATCTGTGTGCACAACACAAAAACTGAATTCTGGCTCATATAGCTTCAATCAATACTCTCTGTGCACAAGATAAATTCAGAGCAGTAAAAGCAATTGCAGTTTATAATTGTTGTTAATTTGATTGTATTTGAAGTCAAATAAATCAATTTAGAAAAAAAATTATATATTAATGCATTTATATTGCAGCAATGGAATGCAGGAAAAAGTTTCATCGCATCTTAGAAAGATAGACAGGTATAAACAGGTCATGAAAAGATCTTAACTATATAAATGGCATTTTAAAATCGTCGCTTTGAAACAAAGTTAATTACGAAACTAGTTATAAACAGTGTGAATTGTAGAATGATGGTTTCCAGTTGTTAAGAAGGTGCTAGTTTTGTTTACCTTTGAAAATGTTAGGATTTGATTCGTAAACTTCTGCAGAACTTTCTAAAAACACCTTACCGGTACGTATTCGCCGTATGACGTTGTACAACCGCTTCGAGTGTCTGGTACACATTCTAAATTACTCATGCAATAGCCTGCTTTACATTCACATCCTTCTCGTGGTGGTCTTTTACAACTATTTGACAGAAGTGGAGCCACGCATGTTGCTGGACATGATGATATCTGTGGTTTGTATATAGAATAATGACCACAAGATAGTGCTTAAATGACAGAAATCAATCAAATAAAAAAGTATAAGATAGTAACAAACTTTTAATGTTTCAAGTGAACACAAATTCTTTAACATTTTACTTTTATTTGCGTGCTTATTTTATGAACTCAGGTGACGAATATATATATATTGTATTCCATTCACTAGTAATGTATCAGGATTGCTGCTACATATGTTTTTACCTGACAGAAGATGAAACAAAAAAACATGTTTTTTTTTAATTTGTTTTCGCATTATTAACTTGTTACACCAGTAAATATATTTGTGATTGTTAGTTTTAATTGCCTTTATACAATATTTTTAAAATTCGATTGTTTAAATTTAATAATAAAATTGAGAATGGAAATGGGGAATGTGTCAAAGAGACAACAACCCGACCATAAAACAGACAACAGCATAAGTATGTTTCATGTGACACTATGTTTTTGTTTTGGTTTAATGATCGGACTGATTTTCGAATAAAACCAATTAATATCAAACAGCTGAACATGACAGGTGTTTCACTGTTTCACTGTTGACATTGTTTATAATTTTCTTCTTTTGGTATCAACATCAAAGAAAACGAATTTTCTTTCTTTTGGTATCAACATCAAATAAAACGAAGAAAATTTACCATCATTATACTGGATAGCAAAACTACACAAAACTCCATATAAAGAACGATACATAGCTGGGTCATCAAAATGTTCGACTAAACATCTTTCTAAAGTACTGACTACTATTCTTTCTACAGTTAAAGATGGGCTTCAAAAATATTGTGATGAGATATATTCTACCAGTGGTGTTAACCAGATGTGGATTCTCAAAAATTCGAAAGATCTACTGCTTAATCTTCGATCACAATCTTTGCAATTTTGCAGCAACATAAAGACTTTTGATTTTTCTTCGCTTTACACTACTATTCCCCATGCTCAGTTGAAAGATCGACTTCACCATCTCATTAAACAGAGCTTTTTCTATAAAAATGGGAATCGTAGATACAAATTTCTTGTTTTGGGTTACAATAATTCATATTTTGTGAAAAACCACACTGAATCTACCAGAAAATATACTGAAGATGATATTATCAAAATGCTGGACTTTTTGATCGACAATATATTTGTTGAGTTTGGAGGATTTATATTTCAACAGACAGTCGGTATTCCAATGGGAACTATTTGTGCACCCCTACTGGCCGATTTGTTTTTGTACTCGTATGAAGCAGAATTCATTCAGAACCTTCTAAAAGACAAAAAGAAAAAGCACCTTGCGAAATTCTTTAATTTTACTTTCCGATATATTGATGATGTTCTATCATTGAATAACCCATATTTCAGCCAATACTTACATCTCATATATCACAGTGAACTTGAAATTAAGGATACTACTGATACTAGAAGGACTGCTTCATACATTGATCTTTTCTTCAATATTGACACAGATGGACGACTTCACACGAAAATCTATGATAAACGTGACGATTTCAACTTCCCAATTATCAATTTCCCATTTCTCAGCAGTAACATACCCTCTGCCCCTTCGTATGGTGTTTACATATCTCAATTGATACGTTATTCTCGTGCCTGTTCACACTATACGGACTTCATATACAGGATTGTGTTCCTTACGCAGAAACTGCTCCAACAAAGTTATGAGGAGGACAGATTAAAATGACACTCCGTAAATTTTACGGACACCATCACGAATTGGTTGATCCATACGATGTGTCTTTGTCCAAACTAACTAAGGACATTTTTACCACGTGTTAGATTGTGGTTTGTCATTACGTCGTCTGATCTTTTAATTACCGAATGTGACTTATTCCCGATTGTGACTGTTTTGCTGAGTGTGAAACCGCATTGCTATAAGACGTGTCACGGTACTTTTCTATCCCAAATTCATGTATTTAATTTTGATGTTATATTTGTTATTCTCGTCGGATTTTGTCAAATGTCTTAACGTCTTTTCTGTTATATTCGTGAGTTATGGTATAGATAATTAATCACCCCCTTCATTTATTAGATTTTAGTTTGGTTCAACGAAATTTATACGATATATTTGGTTTACAGTTTGATTCAGAAGAAACACCGACTTATCTAGATAATACAATTAATTATCTAATTACTACCACTATTTGATATTAATAAGTATTGTAATTTTCATTGTTATTAATAAATGTAATGTCAGTATTACAAATCTAATCTTGAATCAATCCTAATCCTATCTTATTTTTGGGAAATATTTTTACAAATTCAAATGTGACGTCACTTTGTGTGTTTTTTTAGAATTTCAAATGTGACGTCACTTTGTGCGTTGAGGCTTTGGCTAACTCGACTGTGTATTTTTATGTGTTGGATTAAGTTGTTTTATGTAATGTATCCGTTTTTATTCTGTAATTAGTCCCCACTTCGGTTTTATCATGTATATCTATTATAATTATTATAGTCATTTTATAAAATTTACTGTTTGCAAAATTATAAATTATTCTAAATAATAGGGATGTTCTTGTCCCAGTCAGAAAACCCTGGCCGTGTTAGGCGCAACTTTTTGGAAGTTTTGGTCCTCGGTGCTCTTCAGCTTTGTACTTGTTTTGGCTTTCAAACTTTTTTCATCTGAACGTCACTGGTTGGTCTTGTGTGGACGAGACGCACGTCTGGCGTATTGAATTTTAAGCCTAGTACCTTTTGCTAGCTATTATTCGTGTGTTTCTTTGTCCTATATGTTCTCCCATTTATTTGTATTGTGGTCCTGTCATGTGATGTCACGTTTTGATGTTGTGTTTGACGTTGCCATAAAAGCGGGAGATTTGGCATGCCACAAAACCAGGTTCAACCCACCATTTTTTTCTTAAAATGTCCTGTACCAAGTCAGGAAAATGGCCATTGTTATATTATAGTTCTTTTCTGTGTGTGTTACATTTTAATGTTGTGTTTTTGTTGTGTCGTTGTTCTCCTCTTATATTTGATGCGTTTCCCTCAGATTTAGTTTGTAACCCGGATTTGTTTTTATCTCTATCGATTTATGAGTTTCGAACAGCGGTATACTACTGTTGCCTTTATTTCTCATCCTGCTGCAATAGTGGACGTCGTGGAATTATTAAACTGAAATCGATTTTATCATATATCAAAAAATCATATATCTTGAATGAATACATTACAACAGTTTATATTTAAGACGTGATATTAAAATAATCAAAAATAACAAATCAAATATTTGAGAACAAACAAACTAGGTCACATTATCTGTAATGCCCTACTTGTTTAAGTTGAGGTGCTGCGTGTTTTTATTTTGCTTTTGGGGGGAGGGGGGGGGGGGGGGGGGGGTGGAGGGGGAGGAGAAAAGTAATGAGGCATGTGGTACACTTATCATTGATAATTTTCTTTTGGTACATGCCTTTAATTTATATTGTATGGAATGCAAAATATCCAAAAGAAAAAAAGAAAATAACATACGGCATAGTTCGTCATCTCGCCAGCTGAGAGGTATGCCCATTATGTGGCATTGCTCTGCAAATCCCTCTAGACCTTCACACATGACCTCATCAAAGTTTGGTCGTCCGTAGTAAGCGCAATAATCGATAATGCAAGAATCATACATCTCCATAGCTCTCTCAGGATCAGCATTGATACATTTCTTGAATTTACCGTGAATACTTTTATGAATCGACACAAAGATTCTTTTGCCTTGAGTAATAACTCATCTGTACATGGATACACATCGATGGCAGGTTTGCATCTGATTAAATAATTAAACTGGTGACAATTATCACAAATTACCTCA